GAGTTGGCTTCCAGATGAGACTTTACTGTCCATCTCTAGCAGCAGGAGCAGCCCTAGACGAGCTGCCGGCAACTGGTGCCCTAGGTGAAACGTGCGATCGGCACCCGTTTATCTTGGCGCCCTAGGTGACCACCTACTTTGCCTGTATTGACGGGCCACCACTGTCTAGCAGCCACTGGAAACTGCAGCACTCATGGTACTTTTCCAAATCCAAGTGTATCAGGGACAAAATTCTTCCTCTCAATAAAAAAAAACTTATCTAATTCTGAGGGTTATGTGAATTATCAAGATCATTGCCACTGCTGCCTTTGTCTTCCCAGTCACTAGATCTAACCAATTCCTTAATAAAATAATTTGATATATCTAGAGCAGGAGTCTCAAACTCCCAGCCCAAGGGCCATCCCTATCAGAGCAATTGTGCAATCTGGCCCAGGTGCCCCAGTGGGCCTGTCCGTTACCATGGCACCCTGTCCCACAAGGACATGGATTACTGGGGAGGCAGGAATTAGGGACCCTTGATCTAGAGTACAAAAGGTTCGATATATAAAAACATTGAAATACAGATAAGTAAGATTTTTATTGGCTAAAGCATAGGACTTTTAGCCTGAGCAGACAGATTCTATTATTGGTTCTAGCACAGATTTCTTGTGTGACCTGAGGCACAATTCAGAGCATTATAGTATAAGTGATTCCAAATTCCCATCTCACACCAGATCCGAATTTGGTCCTACCTGTCTCTGTGCTCATTTTCCTAATTCACAAAATGGAATAAATAACAAACTGGAGTGGTGATGTGTGAAGTTAAATCCATCCATGCCTGTAAAGTTCTTTGAGATTCCTGAATAGAAGGATTAGTACTTTGTAGGTACAAAGAGTTGTGCAGAAAATAATTCTACCTTAATGTTCTTACTATTTTCAGTATATTGGGATTTATAGTGCTATCTGGCTTGTTCTAGGAGCACATCAACACGTGATTATTTGCAATGAATCGCTCATGCTAGAAAAGTTGCCCAAATGTGGAAAATCCTTTGAAGAGATGATGAAGAGAGTGGACTCTAAAAAATGGTGCAATCTAACGGAATTTATCACGTAAGCTTTGTGCTCTCGTCTTTATTATTTATCTTTTAAGGGTGTCAGTCTTTTAAGAAGTAAATTGCATCAAGTGTCAGGAGCATCTCTATTATTACCAAAGATGTGGTGATTCCCTACTAGATTCAATCTGGACACCAGATTGTTTATTTTGTTGGAGTCAATCTTTGGGGCCAAATCCTGCAAAATGCGATGGCAGCATGGAGGCAAAGCTTGTACTGAAGTCAAAAGAAAGCACTAATGACATTTGGAAGTTAATTGGAGTTCTGTCTGAGTAAAGAACCAAATCCTGCATTTTTTTTTATTGCAGCAACAAAGAAGTATGAAAAATGGCTATATAAACTGCTGGCTCCATTACTATTCTCTTCTGCTGAAATCCACCTCTTACCACTCCTTTTAGATATCTGAGATTTATATTCAGCACTTAATGGATATGTCATCTGGCATGATCCAGAGAATAGAAGGGTGTGCTGTCTGCCAGGTGCTAAGATACGAGATGTGGAACTGAGGTTGAAGAGGATTATTAAGGGAGCAGGAAGGAATCCATTGATCATCCTTCATGTAGGAACAAATGATACGGTTAGATTCTCGCTGGAACGAATTAAGGGAGACTATGCTAGGCTGGGGAGGATGCTCAAGGAAATTGAGGCTCAGGTGATCTTTAGTGGGATTCTGCCTGTTCCTAGAGAAGGGCAACAAAGATGTGACAGGATTATGATGATCAATAGATGGCTTAGGCAGTGGTGCTATAAGGAGGGCTTTGGGATGTATGGTCACTGGGAGGCATTTATGGACAGAGGACTGTTCTCTAGAGATGGACTTCACCTAAGTAGGGAGGGAAATAGACTTCTAGGATGGAGGCTGGCTCAACTGATTATTCTTACACTGCTATGCATTGCCTTGCCATCATCCAATGCTCCTGCCAGATGTTTTCTGCGATGACATCAAAGCGCATTGACAGCAATCATATAAACAGTGCTTGCTTCCAAATCACTCTCTTAAATCACTCCCTTTCACAGCGTTGTAGTTTCTGCATCGTTGTATTCTGCACCGTGCCAATACTATCCTCAGAAACTTTTGCAGAAATTCACATGCTCTTTATATAACCCACTTCTCTCTCTGTGCTATGCCCTAAGTCTTCCACATAAAGTAGTGACACCCACAGTATTTTCACAAGTATCATAGGAATTATATGTTTATGTGAGATTTATAGGCAAATATTTCATTTTTTTCTCAATGGGAGACAATGTTTTCACCATCATAAGATGTCGTGTGATATACTTTGTGTGGTATCTCCTGAATTTACTGCATGTTACCATTACATATCAGAAACCATAGGAACTTCAGGCTTCAATTTTTCCTCTCTTGAGCTAGTGGTATGGTTCTAGTCATTTAATCAAGTTCTGCCATAACATATTGAGATTCCATTTTTATCAAAGCACCAGAATGCTTGCCCACACGTTCATCATATCCCATCTTGGTTATTACAGTCTTCCTCTCTCTGGTTTCTCTGACCCATACATCACTCTCATAGACTCATATATTTTAAGTTCAGAAGCAGCTGTCCCTGTGGGTTCGGGCTGTGGCCACATGGCAGGTGGGTGGGATGATGCCAGGAGTTGGGACTGTGGGTGGCAAGGCAGGCTGCTGCCACTGGAGGTTGGGGCCAGAGCTGCATGATAGGTGAGCTGCTGCCATTGGGGTTTGGGCTCATGGCCACGTGGTGGATGAGCTCCTGCTGTTGGCATTTGGGGCCGCATGATAGGTGGGCAGGCAGGCAGGCAGCTGCCTCTAGGGGTTGGAACCACGGGCATGTGGAAAGCAGGTGGCTGCTGCCAAAAGTTAGGGCCCTGAGCAGGTGGGTGGCTGTCGCCGGGGGTTGGGGCCTCAGTGGCCAAACAGGGGCTGCCACTTGAAGTTGGAGCCAGGACCGCATGTTTTGGAGGGAGGAGGGGCCTTTGCTCTGGGGACCAGGGCTATGTGTCTCAGACACGGTGGGGATGGGAACGAAGCTGGGTAGCTCCTTCAGAAGGGCACTGGTAAAGTGTGACCAACTGTACAACACTGATTATACACTTGATTGGCCAAATGCATAGACAACATTTTTCATGACTGTGGTATTGATTTTGTTTGTCAGATATACAGTTGTGTGTGGCATTTTATAGATATATGCATCACAAGGAGGGGGTCTTTGGAATGCCACATATGTGCAGGGTCTGCAAACATGGATCAGATGGCTGAGTTGGGGGTCAATGGCCTAATCTGTCAATATATGTTAGCTAGCAATGTGTTCAGTCACATGAAGAGTCCTATTACATTAAAAACTATTCACTGCACTATGCAAAGTGCCTGTTGTTTAGAATTCACACTATTTAAGATATGTAATTTAAATTATTACATTCTGCCATAACAACTATGTAAAAATGATGACCTCCCTGATAATCTTGTACCAGCATTCTACTATATATAAAGAGCATCTCAAATATCAAGCAATATAGGTGAATGTTTGTAAAATGTTTACAAACACTGTTTATTATTTGACAGTGCTCTGTGTATTCTTAGAAGCCTCACAATACAGATAAAACAATGAATAATAGACTTGATTCTCTCTTGCCCTGGAACCATTTTTCACTCCAGTGGCACAAAGATATCATAAAGGCAGTGATCATACTTCTCTATGTTGGTCGTCTTCCCAGTATATGTCGGGGACTCCCTATCTTGCTTAGAGCCAATGAAATGGCTTTGTGGTGTTCCCCTTGCCCCTTAAAGCTCCTGGAATAGGGGCATTCTGGAGGAAAACTAGAGCAGTGCTGCAGTGTGCTTATTCTTGGCCTCCTTTGACTTCTGTGGGCAGTGCGGCTTTAGAGCAGCCTTAAGGCTAATCTAACATACTGAAAACTTGTCAGTATTTTCTTATTTGACTTCATATTAAAGCATATCCAAGAATATTAAGGGAACTGGCACATGAACTTGCAAGTCCATTAGCAAAATTTTTTAATAAATCTCTAAACTCAGGGGTTGTGCCATTTGACTGGAGAATTGCTAATATAGTTCTGATTTTTAAGAAAGGGAAAAAAAGCGACCCGGGTAACTATAGGCCTGTTAGTTTGACATCTGTAGTATGTAAGATCCTGGAAAAAATTTTGAAGGAGAAAGTAGTTAGAGACATTGAGGCTAATGGCAATTGGGACAAATTACAACATGGTTTTACAAAAGGTAGATCGTGCCAAACCAACCTGATCTCCTTTTTTGAGAAAGTAACAGATTTTTTAGATAAAGGAAATGCAGTGGATCTAATGTACCTCGACTTTAGTAAGGCATTTGATACAGTACCACATGGGGAATTATTGGTTAAATTGGAAATGATAGGGATTAATATGAAAGTTGAGAGGTGGATAAGCAACTGGTTAAAGGGGAGACTACAGCGGGTCATACTGAAAGGTGCACTGTCAGGTTGGAGGAAGGTTACTAGCGGAGTTCCTCAGGGATCAGTTTTGGGGCCAATTTTATTTAATCTTTTTATTGCTGATCTTGGCACCAAAAGTGGAAGTGTCCTGATAAAATTTGCGGATGACACAAAGTTGGGAGCTATTGCCAATTCAGAAAAGGATCGGGATATCATACAGGAAGATCTGGATGATCTTGTAAATTGGAGTGATAGCAATAGGATGAAATTTAATAGTGAGAAGTGTAAGGTTATGCATTTAGGGATTAATAAGAATTTTAGTTATAAGCTGGGGACACATGAGTTGGAAGTAACGGAGGAGGAGAAGGACCTCTGAGTCCTGGTTGTTTATCGAATGACTATGAGCCGCCATTGTGACATGGCCGTGAAAAAGGCTAATACGGTCTTGGGATTTATTAGGCGAGGTATTTCCAGTAGGGATAAGGAGGTGTTAGTGCCATTATACAAGGCATTGGTGAGACCCCATTTGGAATACTGTGTGCAGTTCTGGTCTCCCATGTTTAAGAAGGATGAATTCAAACTGGAACAGGTACAAAGAAGGGCACTAGGATGATCCGATGAATGGAAAACCTGTCTTATGAAAGGAGACTCAAGGAGCTTGGCTTGTTTACTTTAACCAAAAGAAGGCTGAGGGGGGACATGATTGCCCTTTTTAAATATATTAGAGGGATAAATACCAGGGAGGGAGAGGAATTATTTAAGTTTAATACCAATGTGGACACAAGAACAAATGGATATAAGCTGGCTAGTAGGAAGTTTAGACTTGAGATTAGACGAAGGTTTCTAACCATTAGAGGAGTGAGGTTCTGGAACGTCCTTCCAAGGGAAGTAGTGGGGGCAAAAGATCTATCTGGTTTCAAGATTAAACTAGATTGGTTTATGAAGGGGATGGTTTGATGAGATAACATGATCTTGGTAACTAATTGTCCATTCATTATCAGTGGGAATAGGTCAATGGAGGGATGATAGGAGTTACTATAGAGAACTTTCTGGGTGTCTGGCTGATGAGTCTTGCCCACATGCTCAGGGTTTAGCTGATCGCCATATTTGGGGTCGGGAAGGAATTTTCCTCCAGGGTAGATTGGCAGAGGCCCTGGAGATTTTTCGCCTTCCTCTGTAGCATGGGATACAGATCACAGCTAGAGGATTCTCTGCATCTTGGGGTCTTCAAAGTATTTGAGGGCTTCAATATCTGAGATATAGGTGAGAGGATTATTCTGGGAGGGGTGGGTGAGATTCTGTGGCCTGCACTGTGCAGGGGGTCAGACTAGATGATCATAGTGGTCCCTTCTGACCTTAAAGTCTATGAGTTTATGAGATGAAAGCAGATGTACCATATCTTTAATATTTATAAATTACTTATATTCTAGATAGTGTCTCACACTGAAACCCCATTTACTTGATTCTCTTTTGCATAGACTAAACCATGGCTACCCTGTCACAGGAATGTCCCAGGAACCTGATTGTAACAGAAGATTACAATCTATATTCTAGTTTCTCCCTGCTCATGATGCATGGGTGTGCATAAATGTAC